CCTAAAACCCTAAAGCCCTAAACCAACTCCTCCGTTGCCTCCCCAAAGGAGGCACCGACTCCAGTTGCACAAGCAGCTGCCCCAGCCTAAGGCGTCAAAGGGGTCTGCCCTGACCTCCCACATACCCATGTGGGTGTACGGTTTAGGGGGTTTGGGTTTGGGTTTAGGGTTTAGGGTTTAGGGTGTACGGTTTAGAGGGTGTACGGTTTAGAGGGTTACCTGGACCCCCAAAAGTATGTAAAATAATGGCCTTTATGGCTATTTTGGGTGGTTCAGGGCCATTATTTTACATACTTTTGGGGTTTAGGTAAGAGGGTCCAGGGGGCTTTTCGGGTTTAGCAGGCTTAGGGTTAAGGTTTTGGGGTCCAGGTTCAAGGGTTTAGGGCTTAATTTTTGGATCCCACAACGATAGCCGTCATTGTACACCAGATACAACCTTAAATGGCTATGGTTATGGAATTTCTGCCAGAGCTCAAGATTGAATGATGGTGCACGCCGTAGAGGATTATGGGATGGGATCAGATGTATAAACCCTGAACTCGAAAGCTCTGTCTTATTCGCAGCTTTTGTGGGTGTCAAAGTTCAGACTGCTCTGTTCTGGTGGCTTTAATCTGGGTTGCTGTTAAGGAACTCAAAAAAGACCACATTATTCCTCATTATAGTACACCTACACCCTATACACCTTAGGCCCTAGACCCTAAACCCACCTCAACCCTACATACCCTCCTAGTCCTTAACAACAACCCATTAGTGCTGAAGGCCGTCGAATGTCAGCCGTGTATAGCAACAGCACGCACAGGGTTTAGGGTATAGGCTTTAGGGTGTATAGCAGCCCAACAGCATTCCTAGTACATCTGCAGCGACTAACGCTGCTGCTACTGCTGCACCAATAATTACTCACAATCTCTATGCAACTCGTCCTGCGTTCCTCTCCTTCTCTCCTATGACTCTAACGTGATGATTTCTAGAACAGTTGAAGAAGCGACTGGGTCAAATTGCCAAAAATCGATGGAGGCTATATAATTAGGATGTTGGGCAACGACCCTCCCTTAGGGCCTAAACACCCGCTTTTAGGGAACACTTCCCTCAGCAAAGGGTACCAGGAGGGTGTTGAGCAGTACTGTTGAGAATATCCCCGCACGATTTGGTAGTTTCCCATAAAAAGGGAACCCCAATATAGACCACTACATACTATACTCCTTTTTATGGGGATCCTTAAAACGGTACCCCTAATTTTGGGAAACCCCTATTTCTAAGCGCGCCGAAGCTCAGCAGCTGCAATGGCATCCCGGCCGGCTGCAGCAAAGGTCGCAGCTGCCAGTGCAAGAGACACGGAAGATCCCTGCATGCTGTTCTTAGGGTTTAGGGCCTAGTTTAGGGTTTGGGGTTTATGGATCTGCCCAAAGGGCCATGTAGGGATATAGATATGTATATATATATATATGTATATGTATATACATATGCTTATACATATATATATATATATATGCCATACAGATATACATACATATATATATATATATATGCAGTAGAGGATTTAGGGTTTAGGATTTAGGGTCAGGGTAGGGATAGAACATATACTTGGGCTTCCCATATGACTACTTTGGGGCCCACGTATATAAGATATGGCTAGGGTGCATAAGATGTACACTGTCAGATAAAACACACATATATATATATAGATATACATACACAAATGCACACAAGTGATTTTTTCAAAGTGGGGGTGGCCTAGGGACTCCAAGGGACCTGCCAGAAAAAAGGGGGATTATGGATGTCCGTATTGAAATTTCTATAGGGATCTATTGGAGAAGTATCCATATGTTCACTTACGTAAGACGGACATACGTAGGTGGGTAGGTAGGTCGGTATGTAGCTGTGCATTTGTGTTGGATTGATGTGGGTTCGGAGCCCAGCAACTTAAAACTGCACAACCCTCATCCCTAAGCCCTAAACGCTAAGCACTACTTGTAAAGGGTTGCAGCTCAGCACTCCGCATTGTAGAGACACTTTGGAGCAGCCCTATCTAAAAGAGCGAAGTCAACGGAGGCCAATCTGCATCAGCGTAACTAATCTCCTATGTGGATAGGCCCCAGGTAGTCAAGATAAGAAGCAGCAGCGGCAGAGCAGCAGTACCCGCAGCAGCAGCAACGGCAGCAGAAGAAAACCTCTAGAAGGGGCTTCTTAAGATATAACCTCTATGATGAGTACAGTGCACCACCAGATCAAGACCGCCAGCTGCTTGATCTACGCCAGTAGGAACTACTTCAAGCTATGGGTCCAAGACCCATCAGCTTCTGATCATCATGGAGCTTTGCCACTCCTTTCAAGCCTAAACCAAGGAATGTTAGGTCAGCCCGCTTCTGCTGCTCCCCTCCAGCTTTCGCTTGAAACCAGCGAGCCCAAAACATCTTTTCGGAAATGTTTTCAATTGTTACGTGGACCCCTAATATGATAGGTCTCCAAACCCTAAACCCTAAACCCAGAAGGAATCTATCCCGAAAGTCATATGAAGCGACATTGAGGCCCCTTTCCTCCCCACCAACCCTAAACCCTAAACCCTAAACCCCAAACCCCTAAACCCTAAACCCCTAAACCCTAAACCCTAAACCAAGGGGCTGCAGCCGACGAGATGGCATAGCTTGGGCAGGACCAGGTCATGGGCACAGTCAGAGTGCCTTGGGTGGACAATCATCCCTAAGCCGCAGTTCAGGGTTCAGGGTTTAGGGTTTAAAGTTTAGGGTTTAGGGTTCAGGATTTAGGGTTCAGGGTTTAGGGTTCAGGGGTTTAGGGTTTAGGGTTTCATGAACCCCAAACCCTCAATGCGAAGAAGAGACCTTGCCTCGAATCCGCATGCCAAGTTGTGAAACCAGGGACTGGTAGTTTCCCTGGATAGGCGGACCCCAATACCCTCCCCACAAATGTACCCCAAAGTTTGGGAAACCCCAAGCCCTAAACCCTATGTACCCCTATATAGCTCCTATAACTCCCTTTCGAGGTAGCTCCTTCAAGTAGGGGACTACTAGGAGTTTAGACTATAGCCCATACGCAGCAAGTACCAGACGACGTTTTCGTCACCCCGCCTGCATGAACTTGAGGCATCACACTGCCAACCACAGGGTTCCGGGTTTAGGGTTTAAGGTTAGGATTTAGGGTTTAGGGTCTAGGGTTTAGGGTTCAGTCTTTGTAACTTACCAATATCATAGAATCATGCTATTAGCTATGCAACCATATCATGGTAACCTATGCAACCTTGTAAACCCTATAATCCTTTAAGGGGAAGCTGTGGTCTCCTTGAGGAGATCTCTGCTTCTGAGCTTACGAAGCAGCAAAATTGGCATGAACATACTCTGTAGAGCCTCCTTAAAGGAGTTCCACTAACGTCAGCCGCAAGGCAGAGCCCCAACCGGGAACTGCAAAGCGGAAAGAAAATCAGCGCAGTTCCCTTACCGGAGGAGGGTTCCTGGGCCCTCGACATGCTGAGCAACCCAACGGCTATAGGCCGATCTGAGGAAGCAGGGGCCAGCAGAGGAGGACTTAGCTATACAATGCGGTTGCGGCTGTCAGAAGGGGAAGCCATTGTGGCGTATCGCAAGCTTCCTGTAGAATTGCAACCCAAATGCCGTCATCAGCCAATATTCCCAAACCCTATATGAGCTATAATCTAAACTCCTAGTATCTCCCTTGATAGTAGTCCCCCTTATAGTCCCTTCTATAACCCCCTTCAAGGAGCTTAGAACCTACACCCTAAACACTAATCCCTAAGCCCGAAACCCTACATGGCATAATCCCCTATAAAACCCTTTTTAAGGAGTTGAGACGATAGCTCATGTGCGAGTTTCCCAGAATCCCCCTTTGTGTAAATCCTAAACACTGAACCCGAAATCCTAAACCCTAACCCCTAAAACCCTTAACCCTAGGAACTAAACCCCTAACCCTGAACTCTAGACCCTCAAACCTAAACCCTGAGCTCTAGACCCTAAACCCTAAACCCTGAACTCAAGACCCCACCCTAAACCCTAGAGTGGAAAGGCCCCCAAAGGTTGAATCCTATCCACTCAGCTACGGAACCTGGTAAGGAAACGGCGCGGTTTAGGGTTTAGGGTTACCTATAACAACATACTGTGTTTAAGAATTTCTTAGGGTTATATTACAACGAAAAGGCTGCATTAGAATGATCGGAATGAAAACAACTCCTAAGGAGTCTACAGATGAGATTCCATAACAGCGACCCTAAATCCTAAATAGTAGTCTCTATCTTATTTTCCATTATCCCCATATAGCCCCAACATATCCCCTATATAATCCCCATAATCCCTAAACCCTAAACCCTAAACCTAGGTTCTTCCGTTCAACTAGGAAGCCACTGGTTGAGTCGAAGCTGGGTGTGCCGAAGGCCCAGCCGACCGAGGAAACCTGAATTTCAGATGGGGCTTCGGGGTTAGGATTTAGGGTTTACGGTTTAGGGTTTTAGGGTTTAGGGTTTGAGGTTTGGGGTTTGGGTCGAGAGCCTCCTGTACCTGCCAAACAGCCGCAATGTTGTCTTGGGGCTGAATGAGGTATTGACCCTGAACCCTGAACCCTAAACCGCTTTGCACCTGGAATCCCAGATTGATCCTCATGCACACCTGATACTGGTAGTGGTGGTTTCCAGTTTTGTTCTTCTCTATTTCCTTGTTGGTCGTTTTATCTAACCACCCAAAATCTACCTCCTAAACCCTCCTAAACCCTAAAACCGTAAACCATAAACCCTGAACCCTAAGCCCTGCACCCCAAACCCTAAGCCCTGAACCCAAAACCCTTCAAGGTGGAGCTTTTGGAGTAGCCTTTAACCATGGATCATGATAGCACGCCCTTCTCCACTCGGGGTTGGCAGGATCAACATTGAGTTGCTCTATAAGTAGAAAGAATATGTGGTATGTGGGGATCTTCTTGCAATATACCCAAAGCCGTATATCTTTTTAAGGGGGACTATAAGCCCTAAACCCTACTAAGGAATAGCCAGGTGACAGAACTTACGTGGCCAATGAAGACCCCAACTATACCTCGCCAAAATATACCACAACAGAGTTTAGGCGCCGGGGTTTGGGGTTTAGGGTTTAGGGTTTAGGGTCAATCTTCCACCAAGTAATGGGTACCACAGGGGATTTAGGGTTTTTAAGTAGCACAGGTAACACAGAGCCATGAACAATTACCCATATATCACGCAGAGGTCTTTTCTTGAAGTACCCTAACCAATATTGATGCAAGGCGTCTAGGGCCGGAAAACTTGCAATTCTCGCTACACACCCTGCATATCACCATTTCCCATTGAAGCGTCCATGTTCTTTTCCATTTGTGTTGAAAGTATCATCAGAAAATTGGTGGACCATAAAAACTTACCTACTCTTCTACATTAGTATTGGCAAAGGCGCCCAATACGGCTCTAATATAGCCCTCATATTGAACCAATCTAGTCCCCTGCGCTTCCTTAAAGGGATCCCAAATCCTGGGGGGAAAAATCCTAAACCCTGAACACCAAGCCCTAAACTCTAAACCCCCAAGTCCTAAACCTTAAACCCTAAACCTAAGCCCTAAACCCTAAACCCCAAGCCCTAAACCCTAAACCCCAAGCCCTAAACCCTCGGCCTAAAACCCCTGAGCCTTGTCAGTACCAGCTTCATCTTCGGGGATGGAACGAAGTACAGGGCAGCTCGTGGAATTCTCTGCGTAGCCTGCCGTTTTTTGGGGTTTGGGTTTGGGGTTCAGGGGGTTCAGGGGTCCCTAAACCCTAAATCCCTAAACCCCTAAATCCCTAAGCCCTAAACGGGTTTTGGGTTTAGGGTTCAGAGTGGATCCTTACCTAACGCGGCGGCCTTAAATACGTACAAATATGATTCTAACGTCTATTTGAGATATCCTATGCCATAATGAGTTTAGAATCGGATAATGGAAAAGAACATGGAAACTACAGGGATTACAGGGATTATATGGGGTAGTGGAAAATAAACTGGAAACTACACGGGGCAATATGGAGATTCTATAGGGGTTATATAGGGGTTATATGATTATAATATGCCAGAATGATAGAAGGAATCTAGCATGTCTTCCCTAGATTGAGCCCAGAGGGATGACATTTAGGGTCTAGGGCTGACATGAAGGCCTGGGCACCCACGACATCGCAACCCACATGCTTTAGGCCTTAAGGGTCTTGGATTTAAGGTTTTAGGGACTTAGGACATAGTGGTTTAAGGCCCTACACTCCACACCCTAAGTCACTAAATCCTAGATTTGGAGTTCAAGGCTTTAGGATTTGTAGTTTAAGATTTAGGGCTGGTTGCCCTCTGTAGGCAAGCAGGCAATCAAGAAAGCGAGCATGCCAATACTGCGAGGGAAGCAAGTCAGTTAGCAGGGGTGTAAGTAAATGGGTGAGTAGAGAGTAAGGGTAAGTACGTGGAGAGGCCATAATATATTCATCTATTCAAGTAAGTACTCATATTAGGCAAGTGAGGGTACGGGGGAATGAAGTGGGTGTCTTGCAGCTTCATATGCGCATCATGCAGCACAAGAGTTGCCCTCTCAAAAGCCCAAAGCCTAAACCCTAAACCCTATAATAAGCCTAAATCCTTTCTGGGTGCTTGTTTCGTACCAGCGACCTCATTAGGCAGTCAAGCTACTGCTATTCATGCTGCCACTGCTTCTGCCGCTGCTGCTGCTGCCGACGTAATGCTCGGGCATAGCCCAAAGGGCCCATGTATGTCTATAGCATAACCTTCGGCCCTAAACGCATATACTACACACCTAAGTGGTAGTTTCCATAAATAAGGCTGTCCTCTGCCCAAAATGCTATCATCCTTCTAATTTTAATGGACGCCCCCACAAAATAGTACCCCTCATTGTGGGAAACCCAAGCCATAAACGCTAAACCTCTTCATGCCCAAGCCCTAGACGACCCAAAGCCTTGATCCTAAAGGTATAATGGTAGTTTCCCAGGCGGACCCTGATATAGACCCCAAGATACTAGAATCCTTTTTATGGGAAGCCGCAAAAAAGGGACTCCTAATTTTAGGAAACACCCATGAACCCTAAACCCTAAACCCTAATCCCTGATCCGTAAACCATAAACCCAAGTATACCAACATCGACCCTTAGGGCAAAGCCGCTCCCCGGAAGCCTGTGCTGTTTGCACTCAAGGCGACTTCCGCGCTCACGCCTTGCACAACTCAGGGTCAGGGCTTTGGAAGTAGTGCTTTAGGGTTTAGGGTTTAAAGGGTTGCGGGTTTTGGGATAAATGCTTTGGAATGAAGAGTTGCGGGTTTAGGTATGTAGGGTTGGGCCCTCAGAAGGGGAACCCATGAGCTGCCCAAAATCTCCCTAAGGACCCCCTGAAGCTCCCTAAGTTCCCATATGGTCTCCTAAGCTCTGAACCCCAAACCCTAAACCCTAGACTCTAAGCCCCCAAAAAACCCTAAACCTTAAACCCCACTCTAAGCCCTAAGCCCTAAGCCTCGCCCCTTAACAAGTATATGCTGCATACCGAGGCAGCGCTGGGCCATACCAATGCAGGAGTTTCTCAAACTGGGACGGGAGGTGAAGGGTTTAGGGATACTGGGGGTCCCTATTCGGGGTTATTTAGGGACGATTTTGAGAAATACCGTGCTGACTTGCAGACTAGACCCCATCCCGTGCCTCAAGGCAAGCTCTTGAAACCGCAAAATCCCTTATCGCGGTTTCCCCAATTTTCGGGCACATGTAGTAAGGATTGTAGTATCGCGGGTCTAGGCCGTCCCAGAATCCCTTCAAAGGGACCCCTAGAATCCCTTCAAAGGGACCCCTTCACGCCCTGCTAGTCCCTATAGCTTAGGAGGACCCCCCACCCTGTAATAGTGACTATAAAGGATAATAAGGACTCTCATATTCTTATTCTACCAGTATTACAGGGTGGGGGTCCTCCTAACCTATACCCCCTCTGAAGGCCCCCTTCTTGGATACATGGGCCCTTGTCGAAAAGCCTATGAGGAGCTATGTAGATCCGCTCAGTTGCATGGCGTTTCCTACCCGAAACCCTAAACCCCAAACCCTAAACCCCTAAACTGTAGTATATTGGGGGTTATATTGTGGTATATTATAGGAAGGAGGGGGTGATCTGACATTATCTGACTTTTTGCTGAGGACTATAATGACATTCCCAAAGGGGATTAGGGTTTATAGGGGTTATATTGGGATAATGGAAAAGAAAATGGAAACTACTATTTAGGGTTTAAGGTTTAGGGCCTATAGTCCCCTTAAGTAGATAGAATATGGTTTTGGGTATATCATGATAAGATCCCCATACACGCCATATTCTATCTACTCTAGGGGGAGTATACCTATGTGAAATCGTTTTACCCCAGAGCAAATGTGAAAAACAGATGCAGCCCTACACCCTAAACCCTGAACCCTCAAACTGGGTTTAGGGTGTAGGGATTAGGGATACGTAAGGATCTAGGGATATTAGGGATTAGGCTCTAGATCTTAGCGTGTAGGGGTTGGGGAGAACAGCACATTCTGCTAGAACCTCACAAGCGTGCTGGGCTTCGTGCCTGATGGCAGTGACAGCTGTATCGCTTTGACATCCTGGGACACAAATTCATAGCTATATGGCCAGGCAACGAGCACTGTGAAATAGGAAAGAACTGGGTTGCTGATAAGGAACTCAAATTAAGTTACTATAACAGGTGTGTGTATATATATATAATGTACAGAGGAGTTAATATTGTTCCCCAAGATAATAACTTGAACTAAGTTCCTTAACTCCCCATATTCCCTAGTTTCCATTTCATGTTCCATGTTCTTTTCCATTTGGTCCTCAGTTATAGGGCGGTGATAGAGCTCAAATTAAGTTCCTGAACAGCGAGCCCGAGAAGGGCCAAAAAACCCTAAACCCTAAACTCATGGCATAGGCCGCCCACCTTCGATGGGCGGCGCTTATGATGGCGCAGGTCGATCCAGCACNNTCGCCTGCCTTCCCACAGCCAGGGGTACTGTAGCACCCACGAGAGGCCAGGTACCTGGAGGAGTTCTCCTCGGGACCAGTACTGGTCCCTGTTTGCCAAACCATAAACCCAGAGCCCTCCCAAAGGCCTCCCAGGCGCCATAGGGGCCAGGAGCCTCCCCAGCCTTCCCAAGGGCCTCCCAGCGCCTCCCAAAACTCCCAAGCACCTCGCAGCATTTTCGAAACCTTTTTGGGGTAGGCCTTGTCCAGGCGCATGCAGGACCCTAAACCCTAAACCCCAAAACCCTAAACCCTAAACCCTGAACCCCCAAAGCGCTGCTAGGTCGGTCCAGTTCGGCGAGCTGGGGGGATGGTGTGCTGTAGTTCAGGGTTCAGAGTTTTGGGTTTTGGGGTTCAGGGGTTAGGGGTTGGGGTGTGGGGTTTAGGGTTTAGGGTTTAGGGGTTGGGGTGTGGGGTTTAGGGTTTAGGGGTTAGGATTTGCTCAGGCCTTTGATGCATAACGCCCGATTTGGGATTTAGGGCTGCGTGGTGACTACTAGATCCAAGAGGTTTTGAGAGGACCTCGAACACGCCAGGCCTGAATCCCCACACCCAAACGCCCAAAACCCTAAACTCAAAACCCGGCATCCTAAAACACAAACCCTCAAACTAAACCCATGAGTCATAAAGAAGGGGTGCTGCTAGTCCATCTTGAGGGATCATCTTTCGATCGGGTTGCTACATTACGAATTAGTCATATGGTTTTGGTTAATATTCCCCATATGAAAAACTTAGGATCCAAAGTGCTTATATGGTATGAAGCAGGGATTCTATGATAGGACTTAGGAAAACGATAGTAAAAAGGTTTGGATTAGTCTCCACCCTGTATTATAGGGATTTAGGATTACTCGGGGAAGAGATGGTTTGGGTTAGTATCCACCATATGAGCTATAGTCTAATCTCCTTAAAGGGGCTATATAGGGGATTATAGGATTATATAGGGGACTACTATAGGGGTTATTAAGGGGCATACTAGGAGTTTAGACTATGGCTCGTATAGGTACTTTGGACCCTTTGGGGAAAAGATCCCGCGCTGCTGCGGAGAGTCTGCGAAGTCGCCCACACCAGCGGTTGCGGCAAGGCTTGACAGCGTCACGGCAGCGTACTCCTCCCAATGCTGGGTCTAGGGAGTAAGATATACCTGAACCCCAAAAAGTATGTGAAATAATAGCCCTAAACCCATAATAACAGCCTTAAGGGCCATTATTTTACATACTCTTGGGGTCCAGATAATGATAACAAGTATTACTCGTCTTATTTCCTACTGCTATGATTACCTTACCATTAGTGAATGTGACTAGAGTCGAAAACGTCTGAGAATTTGTGAAGAGCTTGTCATGTAAACAAAAGCACGCAAACTTAGGTACACAATGAAGCCAACAAGTACGCAGCTGGCATACAACTGTGAAGGCGCTGTGGTGATCGCAGTCTGGGTTCCGCTACCTAAGTAGTTCGTTCTATACCCTAAACCCTAAACCCCTAAACCGATTTTGGGAACCAAGCGCTATGCAGTCAAGTGTAGACATCTGACAGACTGCAGACCACATGATGTACTGAAAAGGGTTCGAGTAATGGGTTTAGGGGAGGAGTTGAGGGTTTAGGGCAGGAGGCTGTGAGACTTGGTAGCGTCCTGCCGGTCAGGGCACATTGTGGCACACCTGACAATGTGCAACTGCCAGCGGTTGCAGGTTCTCATCATCTCATACAACTCTAGGTTCCAGCTCACGCTGCGTGATTAAGAGGTTGATGAATTCGAGAGGTACCTAGCTTTCCTGTACATTTGTGAACGGGCGGATACGATGAGCAGATGTACATAAGTTCCTGCACTTGTAAACTCCGGTCTTAAACCCTAAATATCCCTATGTGCTTCATCGACGCCTATAGACGAACCCGATATCCGTTTATAAAGGGACCACTATAGTTCTCTTGCCAGAAGAGCTAAGCCCATACCTTAAACCGCGTACGAGGAAGAACGGACACCCTGGAGCTTTGCGGAACCAAGGGACCCATCGCCATAAGCTGCCTGACACCTGCAGTCATTTCAGGTTCAGCTGCTTACTTATGACTAGCAAGGATTTAAAACATGGACCCTAAAAGGAACTAGTCCCCTGTCCACACCTTAAACCCTAAACCCTGTTCTTCAATTGCCCCTTCCACCCGCTGAATCCCACAGCCTATATAAAGCCAAAATAAACCCTAAATAGTGGATCTTTGCTATTTTCCATTCATTCATAGTCAGAGGTCCTGCTGAGGAGGGGAATGTCTCTAAAAGCAGCGGCAAGGACTCATCACACAAGCTTAGCACTAGGGTTTAAGGCCTAAACCCTAACCCCCAACCCTAAAACCCTAAACCGGGTTTAAGGCATGACTCCATGCGACGTGCGATCTAAAGGCTTAACATGCCAAAATGGCCTCAGGTAAGCAAAAGAACAGGAAACATGCTAGGCAACATCCTTAAATCCCGAACCCTGGAACCCTGAACCCCACCTGATGCAGTCTAACTTGAAGCCTGCAAAGTCACAGTCAGGAAGATCTTGTGAGTCAGTTTAGAACCATCGCAGACCCAATACAGAACTATGTAGGAGCCCTTGGGCATAACCCTAAACTCCCCCATATGCCCCTATAAAATTCCCATACCCTGAACCCTAAACCTATGTAACCCTATATAACCCTATATTGCAAATCCCCATATGACCCCCCTAACCTCAAAAGGAGCACTGGGGTTTTGAAAGCCTCTGCCTCAACCCCGTCAGTTGAACTGAGGCCAGGGCAGTGCCAGAAACACGCCTTTGCAGCAAGATGAGGGGGCCGGGGGGCTAGGGTTTAGGGTTTAGGGATTGGGGTTTAGGGTCTGGGGTTTAGGGTTTAGGGTTGAGAGGGTTTTGGGTTTTGGAAGGGCTTTTACCGAGATCCTCCTACCCAAAGCCCTAAATCCTAAAACCTTGAACCCTAGACCCAACATCCTACATTATCAGGTCCGAATATACGGTGCTAAAGCCGTATAGAAGGTAGTTGAAGATTTTCAGTACGTACTGGATTAGAATAAAGGGTTTACGGTTCATTGGAAGTCAGGAAAGGACATCTTCAGCTTGGGGGAAAAAGTACGGAAATTGACTAAGATTGGGGTGTTGTAGGGGGATATTTGATTGCCGTGCAGATGTCGACATGCTCTGTGATTCGTACCTTGCCACCTCTTGCTGCTTTGCGCGCAGCAACTTTAAGGTCTCCACATCCGCAACGATGCCAAGTAGAAGGGCTCCCAATGACAAGTCAAGAATACGTGTTCCATGACCCTACGAGTAACGAACTAAAATGCCAGTACGGGCAGAAATCTAAACACTGGATCCCTAAACCCTAAAGCCAAAACCTTGAACCCGTAAACTCTAATCATGAACCCTTAAACCTTAAAGCGATAACCCCAAACCGCTGAACCCCAATTAACCCCTACACCCCAAACCCCTAACTGGTAAACCAGTAAACCCTAAGTACTGTTCCTACTTGTATTATTATTGCTATGATTATTACTATGACTATTTTAGTATTATTACTATTACTACTAACCTGAACCCTAAACCCTAAATCCTAAACCCTAAACCGTGCGCTTTTATTGTTACCCCTAAACCAGCAACCAAAGGCTCTTGAAAGGAATGAATATACTCTGCTAGGCCCCCTCAGCATACAGACAGAGGCCCCCAGCTGCAACTTGGCAGCAGTACTACAAGAGCCTAAATGATTCATGGATTAGGGTCTGGGTTAGGAGGACCCCCTACCCTGTAATAGTGGTGTAATAGAAATGTAAGAGGACCCTAATATAATCCCTAATATCCCATATAGTCACTATTACAGGGTGGGGGGTCCACCTAAGGTCTGGGGTTTAAGGTTTAGGGATGAGGTTTTAGAGCTTTGGGTCTAGGATTCTAGGTTTTGAGATATTACCCGCCCCCAATGATGGAGAGTCAAATCGAAAAGAAAATCCGGGCAAATGACATGGACACTGGTTTCACATAGGGGTGGATGGGGATTATAGAAAATGCAGGGCGCTAAATAGTTCCCAACATACTTTTCGTCGGGGAACTTGGACCCTTGGATTTGTTTTTTAAAAATTGTTGCTGTTCCTTAGGATTATAATAAACAAAAAAGTAAAGATTATTTCCAAGTACCCCTAAGTTATGAGATTTGTTTGAGGTACCCTAGACTACAATTAGAAGAGGAGTCTGGCAAATGCTTGGGCCCCTAAACCCTGACCCTAAACCCTTTACCAAAAGCCCTAAAGCCTAAAACCCTAAACCCTAAACAAGACAGGTTTAGCAAACGCCCTGACTGGCACTCAAATTTTGACCCTGCTCAGCTCCAGGGGTGAGGGTTAAGGGTTTAGGATGTAGGCCTGAGAACGATGTGCCGCGGATTCGGGAGACACATGTGGCCCTTATCCTCTGTCAAAGACAATTGCAAATCAATTCAGCTCTCACAGCAAGGCTAGCTAAGACTTCAACCGAGTCGCACACAGCGCGCCAGGAAAAGCTGATGAACGCCATGGTGGCCCAAACTGCTACGCTTGAGGAATGAAGTGTCACAGCGCTGAAACGCTTGAAACGATGCAGCCATGGTATTCTATGCTATAGTCCTCCTGAAGTAGATAGAATATGGGGTATGTGGGGATCTTACCATAACATACCCAAAGCCATCTTTATCTACTAAAGGGGGACTATAGGCCCTAAATTGAGGACCCTAAACCCTAAACCCTATATTCTATCTACTTAAGGTGGACTATATCCGGACACACCAAAATCAGATGCTAACTCTCAAGCCGGGTTTATGGCAGTGTTATCTGGCCTCCAAAATAGTGGGTACTCAAAGGATTAGGGTTTAGGGCTTTGCTGCTGTGCTCAGACATGCTCAAAGTCTTGTGGTTCAGCATGATAGCTGGTGGCCCTTGCTCTTGCCTTTGCCTTTAGTAAAGGCTTTGCCCTTGCCTTTTGTCAAGGCTTTGCCCTTGCCTTTAGTCAAGGCT